CCCTATGCCTCGGCTCAGTGATAGACGGGGCCCGTTCAGTTACAACTCGTTCTCGGTTGACACCAAGACGAGCGTAGTTAATGCCAACGTTGGTCTCGTCCCGCTCTGAAAAAGGAAAGGGGAAAGGTTAGTTCAGATAGGTTGGCACAGCATAAAAAAGCGAAGCGAGAGAAGAAAAAGAGATAGTTAAAAAGCCTCGGCCCCAGCCGAAGAAGCTTACCATCCTTAAACTTTCGGCTGAGGCCAACAGCTGCTAGCATGTTCTCTTGGAAAACGTAATGCGTATCGGGGAGCCAAGTCTCCGGGATATGCTGCATTCGGCCACTGCCCCCCCGGTTCGGCAGCTTGCCGAAGATATGTTGCTGATCCAGGTTCGGATCCGCCCCGTTATCTGCGGGGGGACCTAGACTTCCCATTTCGGGATCAGGCTCAGCGAGGTACCGGGGAGCGCTGAAGACGCAAGGGTGGCCCGGATCTGTGGGTGCCCTAACCCAAATCCATTGACCTCTCCAGTCCTTGTCTGAAGAGTCGTTTGGCCACATGGTTAGGTATTGGGGCCGGGACTCAATCCGGTACCACCCAGAACCATGGCTTCCGTGCCCACTTTGAATATTTGGCACTAGCCGATGGAGCTTTTTGAAGCAGTGCAGGTTCGGCACGTACTTGAAGAACTTGCAGACCCATAAGTATGTCATCACCCTTCGGATGCTGGTGGGAGTTAACTGACATAGAGAGATGTTGTAATGGATCAGCAAGTCTCGGACGAATACGTCCAAAGGGAACCTCAGCCCGTACTGAAGCTGTCTTGTGTACACCCCCACATACCCCGGGGGTGGACGATGGATTCTATCGGATGCCGAGGGCATTCGGCACCAATACCCATCAGCTTCAAAAATGCCGTAATGCAACTCAATTTGCTCGGCAAATCAATATTGATCGGCATTCTCCACCCACCATGGGTAGGGGCGGTTCTTTATCATGGCCGAAGCAACTTCGGCATTCTCCCATTCTGAAAACCCGGGGAGGATATCCCAAAGGACAGCGGGAACTTCATCATCCCGTCCAGAAGCGCTCGGCTCCTCCGTTCTCTGAGGAGGAGCCGAGGAAAGGGGAGTCGCCCTAATCCCTTCAGCAGGGTCAGACTCTGGCCTTTGTCCATTCCAGGTCCCAATCCTGTTCCTAGGATCGGGAATCGGCCTTGCTCTTCTTGGAGCACGGGCTCTACCTCTAACTCCTCTTGCCATTGATTATTTCGAAGAAAAAAGTCGAAAGAAAAGGGGAAGGAGTTCGAATTCGAAGAAAAATAAACTGAAATCAAAGGAATTTACCTTAATCTGAAGCGAAAGTTGCCGATTTACGAGTTCGTAGTGGCAAGTCTCAGTTTCTAAGCTTAATGCTCGGGGAATTTGCGAAGTTTTGATGCGGGTTCTTGGTTTCTCTCTCGAGAATTCTGGGTTTGTGTTGGTGAATAAGTGAGGAGAGATGACGCGCCTCTGTTTATATCTCCAGGTATGGGATACGAGGAGTCTGCGTTTTAATTTCTCTTAAATACTCCACTAAGTAACCGTTAAACACATGATCTTGTGATTAAACTGCCCATTATCCGTCCAACTTCCACAATCATCTGCCTTAACCGTTGTTATCTCATTAATTACGGTTGAAATTCAAATTTTTGGATTAATTAAATCATTTACTTCCCTCCTTTTCTGAATTAAATCAAACCCGACCCGTCATCCTTCCAAATCGGGTCTGGGGGGCAAGTTGTTTGGGTCCAATTTAGTCCAATTGGGCCTAAGCACTAAATGATCCAATTAAAAGCCCAAGGTCAAGGTTCAACTCTCCAATTGTGCTAAAGTCAAAGGTCAGCCCACAAAGCAAGCCAATTGGGCTAAGGCCCAACCTCTCCATGTATAATGAGGTATAAAAGCCATCATATTGATAGATTCAAGGAGAGATTCATTCTGATTCATTCATAGATTCATATGTTCATTCATATATTCTGATATATTCCATAAAAGCCTCAAGCAACAAACTCTCTTGCATAGTGTCTTCTTCTTACACATTGTACTGACTTTAGCATCGGAGGGGCCTTCCTCGGCAACACCCCCGAGGCTAGTTTACGTGTGTTTACTGTGCAGGAAACCTTCGGCCCAACATAACTTGGACCGAATCCAGCCTTCTCCATTTCAGCGGACCTTCGGCAAGGTCCCATTGTTTTCACCCGAAACAAATTCGATTTCAAAAATTAGGGGGAAAAAAACCCTAATTTTCAAAAACACCAATTACACAAAATGAAACAAACAATTATACAACAACCACACAATACCTGGTTCGAAATTGATGAATTGCTTGGTTGAAAACTTGAAATCCCAGATTCAGATATTTTTAAAGGAATTTACCCTAAAATATTTTTCCTATTGATCGAAAAAGAGGAATGAGAGAGAAGCAGAGGTTTTAATAAGAGTTAATTGGAGGGAAAAGGGGTGTAATAAGCAATATAAGAGGTCACATGTCTCGCATACTCGTGGTCAACCCCAGAAAAAATAGAGTCAACACCGGAAAGTAGCATTAGGTTGTCTCTGACAAAAAAAAATTATAATGTGGTTTGAAGTTACAAAAAAAAATTCAAAAGGTTGTTTTAAATAAAATGGACACTTTAAAAGGTTGTATCTGACAAATTTTCTTTTGTTTTATTTGTGAATGTGAAAATAAAAATTAAGAAAGCGTGAGTGATTAGGGCACAATTGTATATATGACTCTTAACTCTTAAGAACAAAAATTAATAGATGTATAAGTATAATATAGATTAGACAAAGTGTTTTCTTTACAAACCCGTATTTTGTAAGATATTGTCTGATTCGGTGTATATTATATAGCTGCTTTAATTTATTGAGATGAAATTACGAGCAAAGAAGGAAAGTGATGTGTTAGGGACTTAGGATATTTAACTATTTATACATGTAAAGGATTGAACGGAATTTTCATTGTACTATGTCTTATGTACTTGTCTATATATATATATATCGTCAGCACTATCTATTGAAGGTGAGTTGTATTTTCCCAAATACTCGTACATGTTATGAAGAGCTCATTAAGTTGATATTAGACATAAACAATACTCCATAGAAATGTTGATATTAGACATAAACAATACTCTATAGAAATAAGGAAACTGAGCCACTAATGCTTATATTGCGTACGATTAGCTTAGAATCTTCAAAAATAGTAATTAAAAATCAACAGAAAAAATAAGGGCCCAACCGGGTTCGAACCGGTGACCTCTTGATCTGCAGTCAAATGCTCTACCACTGAGCTATGGACCCTTGCATGAATAATATTCCTCAAAATATTATATAACCTTATTAATAAGGTTGAACTTTGGAAATAATTTCCGCTTGCTACTTTTATATTTCACCACATCTAATCGATTCCTTGAAAGCTGAGTCCTTCAAAAATTAATCAAATCTCTTAATTTAATTTATAAGAAAATCATAACCAATAGCTGGAATCGAAGGGAAGGTAAAAAAAAAAAAACACTTATGCATAATTTTGAACCATGTTTTGGAGTTTAGATATATTAGAAATATGGATATTCCTATACTAACATATTTACACCGTACATATTTGTGTTCGACGATTACAAGCTCAATTGTCAAGACTAGCCAACTTAACATAGTTAACGTGTATCATGTAACAATTTGAATTATAAACGAACCAAAATCAAGCACATCAAATTTTGGATAACTAAGCATTAATAGATTTAATTATGAGCTCGTGAAAATCTCAAGTTCAACTAAACTTATTGAGTTTGAGTGTTTGATGTACGTCTACAAAGAATTGAAGAAAACTTCGACTAAAATTAATTTTCCTAAAAATTGAAGTATACTCTTATTCTCTGATTATGAAAATGCATAATGAAGGAAAGATTAGTCCCATAGTTTTAAATAAACCAAGTTTGGCAAGTCGTTGTCCTAAGATTGCAATGGATTTTCTTTAATACAATTATGTCTTTTTTCGTAGACTATGATTAGTAGATATTTAGTAGAAAACATTAAAATCACGGATAATAGTCAAAATTATGAAATAATCATAGTTTGAATATGTCCCTCAAGATTTGAACAAGTTGCAGCGTAAAATTGAAGAGTTCCATTTAATAAACAATTGATAGTTCAACATCAACCCACATAGTGGTTAACATTGACTATTATGTTAAGTTATGCATTGGGTGGTAAACCCCTATCTTATCATAATTCCTAACTATTCTTTCAAATGCGTTTATACAACTTATTTCTTCACTTAGATATAGTAGGTACAACAACAAACCTTTACTTTCAATTTACACAAAATTAATACTTCGTAGCAATAATGACTATAACTCACAAGGAAAATAACATAGAAGCATCTCTACATCACTTAAGTACTTAACAGAGGGATCGCTTAGGGCATCATATGCATGTTAAAGGAACGCGCACTCGAAATTATTCTGTTTAGGATATGTGAGAATGTGAGATAAGAGGCTAGGGTTGGCTGATAGGAATAGAAAACATTGTTTGTTTGTTTTGGAGAATGGGGATTAAGGGAATAAGGATTTAAACCCCTCTTATTCTACCAAAGAAGGATTGAATTATTGGAAGATAAAAAAAAGAGTTAATAAGTTTATTAATTTAACTATTATCTCTATCTTATTTCCAAGGAAGAAAAAAATCATTGTACAAGATGATCCTAGTCAACTCGTCATATCCAATATTCCTATCATTATCCTCTTACTTACCATTTCTAAATCCTTTTTCTTGTGTCTTATCCTTGTTTCATACATCAAACCTAGAGGGAGATGGAACTAAAGTATGTACCTCTATAGCTTCAAATTCAAACACCAATTGTTAAAGTAGATCTACACAAATACATATCCTCACTAAAAGAATCTCTCTTTGCTTTTCACCTGTACTCCAACTTTATACTGAAGAACAACACTAAGATTAAAGATAGACTGACTAGTCATGTATCTTTAAAACGGCATATACCAAATATCACTCATAACCATAAAATTCCACTTATAGATAGGTTAGTACAATAACAGCACCAGCACCACCCACTTTGTGGTAAGCTAGGCTCCATGAAAATCATTACTCGCAGCAGCTCGTATCATCATTCATATACTTCGTACTTATTTCCATAAATAGGAAGTCATACAGACCAGTGACATATCTACGCCAATTTTACAAAACGTATGTCACAGTCATTTACCATATATACTACAAGTATATATATAAACAAACTTTCTGTCTCTGATAGTATGTGTCCTTCGGTCTTCATACTCACCACACCGTATTACTATCTGTCTACTTAGTTTGGTCGCTAATACTTTGTAGAATTGTATGATGTGTGCTGTATAGACGCCCCTGAACAAGGGTTGTGTTTTCTCAAGCCTTAGTCTCGTCAAAAATATCCAGAAGGGAAAGAGCCTGCAAACACACAGCATAAGGATATCAGCTTAACAAGACCTCAATAGTTTTAGGTTACATAGCTCAAATAAGTGTGGTACGCAAACACCTATCATGTTTGATGGGTATTTAGTATTTACCTCTGGAACGCTTAACTCAAGGCGGAACTTGGGACCGTCATAGTGATGAAGGATTGGCCTGAAAGCATCCTCATCCAAAGGCTCACAAAGTTTCCTAGACTGAACTCTCACCTACCAAGTAAATTCAGACGATAAGTACACGAACAAAAACACACAACACCAGTATTATCTTACCCTAAACTCATCAATACACACATACTCACACCTAACTGTCATACTTCAGAAAATAATCTTTCAACTAGACACTCGAATCCAGATAACAAGTAACCCAGTATGCTTCTAACTAACTGATGTAAGCGAAAATACATAAACTGAAATCTACCTGAGCAGGAAACCGAGATTCGCCAGGGTTCTTTTTGTCCTCCCAGGCTGATGGATCAATGTTAGTCCCTCCAAAACTTGCAGCCTGTAACAAAAAAAATCACCATATCATTAGCTCTCATTTTCCACTACCTAATCACAATCAAGTTGATGAAAAACTGGTAAATCAAAAGTCAGTTTCCTTCCTAAAAATCAGCAAACCTAAAGTTATGAGTAACATACAAGTCATAACTAACTACACCAACACTAAGTAAAGTAATTGAAAGTATGACTCACCTCATATATACCATGAAGCTGATGGGTAGAGTAGTTGTACAGAAAGAGGGGTAGCCCTGGAGTTATCTGCCTCACTGAATCGCGGTAACGTGGTGGCAAACCTGTAAAAGTATTCAAAACACATGATCATCTCGCCCATTTCCAACCACTTCATAGATCAAGAACCATATACTACCACTTTCTAACCATATATCTAAAGCTACATAAAATTAATTGAAAACAACATAACATATTAAAATCAACCCTTTAATCTCATATTTGTCAGATTTTAAGCATGATCTTATATCCTTTGCAAGTACAAACTACCCTTAATATAAGATTAATTGTAATATTGAAGCACCATATTTGTCAGATTATAAGCATGATTTTATCTCATAATAACGACTAGTGAATTGTCAATAATTCAAATTCATTTAGCATCATCATACATAAACATAGATAATAAATACAAATTATAATGTAGGAAATACAGAAACCGAAAGCGTTTCGTGTAAATCGTGTTACATACTCCACGGATTATAGCTATTGCATAAACACATGTCATGTACAATACAAGTCACATAATTCCAAATTTCCAATCTCTGAAATACCACATGCTTGATGCTTCCAATATAAATATATACCCTTTTAACATTCTAAATCATATACCGTACAAAATACAATTAAAATCAAATTAATTGAAATCAATAATCCCACAATTGACCGAACTAAAAAATCTTAATTTGTCATGTACCAATACCATTTTACAAACTCGAGTAATACGAATAACACCCAGACAACGCAGACTTAACAACTACAAGATGTAATAACAATAACAATAACCAAGAAAAAAAAAAAAAAAAAAAAAAAAAAATAAGATGGGATAAGATTAACATACCAAAAAGATGCCTCTTGAGATTCTCCTCCATAGTATCATTATTGCAAACAAAGATATAACCACCAACAGTTTCATTTCTCGGAAGTGCTTCAGAAGGAGGTAAAGTCTTAAACCTCTTATCAACCCCACTTTTACTGTCACCATTATTACTGTTACTATCCTTATTATTACCGCTGTTATTCTCCTTTTTTACCTCTTTGTTCTTCTTCCCTTTCCCTCCTCCGATCACATGATTTTGACCAATAATATCATCCCCTTTCAAACTCACATTCTTGTGCCCCTTTAATCCAACATTATTATTATTTTTAATAACATTATTGTTATTGTTAATACTATTAACATTAACATTAAAATTCCTCAAAAATTGATCATTCTGATTATTGATATTTCCAATACTACCCTTTGAGTAAATCCCTTTGTTGAACCCGCCGTTGAGATTGATACCCGACCCGAGCTTCCAACCATCGTTGAAGGAGTTGAAATCGGAGTTGTTAGGAAGAGGGGTGTTGTTGTTATTGACGAAATTACCCTTGGGCTTGGGGTTGGGCTCGAGATTTCCACCGACCCGAATATCGAAATTCCGGCGATCCTCTGTTTTCTTAGTGGGGTAAGAATTGACGCTCCAGATTGAATCGTTGAGAGAAAGATTGGCTAAATTTGAGGTGTGAACACGAAGTTCATCGCTGAATTGAAAAAATGATTGTTGATTATTGCTCTCCATGTGTTCGACGAAATGTCTCTGAGAAAATTGAAAAAAAAGGGTTAATTAATTAAAAAATTTGAAAATAAAATTGTGGGTTTGATTTTGGTGTATGATTTAAGAGAGAGTTAAGAAATGGGGGAAGATGGAAAAAGGGGTTATATATAGAGAGAGAAAAAGTTGTTTTTTGAGGAAAGTTCAAGGAAAATCAGTGAGATAACGTGTTAAGTTGTCAAAGGTAATGAAACTGTACAAAAGAAAAGGAGAGTTACACGAGAATTATAAGGAGTATGATTTAGTGTACATTTTTTATGTTTTAGAGTGGATGTATATAGTCAATTAGTTTTACGAGTTTAGTATAAGCATTAAATATCTCTGATAAAGTAAATTTGTAAATCTTATAAATAAAATTAATAACAATTTTACACATCATTATGCATAATTAATGCTAATTTAATATGGTTTTATCTAATTAATCTTTTGTCAAAATGTCATGAGTAAAAAAATTTAGTACTATAAATAATTAAATATAATATTCCGTACTTTATAGATTACTAAACGGGTACTCGTAATATTTAAGCTATTACAAGAAATTTTCTAGTCACATAAATTAATTTTCTTAAATAGAATACTCCATAATTAAATTTTAAAGAGTGGGTTTAGGTGAGCGAAGAGGAGACTAGCGTCGGCAAAATAAAACGCGTAAAATTAAGATAGATAAGAAATTGAAAAGATAGCATCTAGAAGAACGGATAATTGGAAAAAGTCATAGGAATGTCCTAATAATTCTAGGATGTTCGGTGAGTTCACATTTGGAGAAGATACTTTTAAATGTAAAAAAAATGGATATTTTGCTTAGTTGCTAAGGAGAGCAAAGTGTTGTAAGTTAAGACAATAATAATAAATAAAAGGGGTAAGTGACAAGTGTATGAGAGTGACAAATAATAAGGTTGTTGGTATTTGTTAATAAGTAGACTAATGGTGCATTTCTATTGGTTGAGTTGTGTCATGGATTTTGGAAATCATGGGGTACATATTACATTGATGGTGATTTTGTTCATGTGTTTTGATGATGTGGGTGAATTTAACGAGTGATTTTGATGATGTGGGTGATTTTAAGTGAGTGATTAGGGATAAAGATGTGGTGGCTAATTGTGATTAGTGATGGGCTTATGTTGTGCATGAGTGGGTTGGTTTCAAAAGTTGGTTTTTGTTAAGTGGGGTGGATTAAGGGCTAGAATTTGAACCGAACATGGGTCTATGCCACTATGGTATTGGTGAGTTATGGCTTTATTTTTATGGTTTAAATTAGATTTACTTTTTTTTTTTTTTTGTTTGGGTGTGTGTGTTTTTGAGTATGCTTACTTTTATAGTTAAAGACATGTAATAGGGTAGGTTCTATTTACATAGTTTTCACTTATCTGAGCTAATCTAATCTTATTAAAATTTATTTTATTTGTTATTTGTAGTTGGATAGCCCTTTAGAAAACCTATTTTTTGAACTAAACTAATCTAAATTTGTATGAACTTATTATACTTGAAATAAGTGAAAATAAGGTGAACAAAATAAATCCTTATTTTGTATTTTAAGTTATTTCAAAAAAAATCTAAATAAACTCAACTTTTATAGAGTAAAGAGAAATAAATTTATACAAGTTTAGTTTGTTTGAAATAAGAGTTATTCAATTCAAATTACAATTGAAACAAGTTCTATCAAGTTTAGTTTTGAAATAAAAAAAAAAAGCTCAATAAGAAGAAAATCAAATGAATTAAACTTGTTTAAGGATTGTTTTAAAAAAAAAAAAAAAAACTTTTGTAGAAAAATAGTTTTTTCTTTTTCCTTTATTTAGTTTGTTAAGGTGTGGAAAACTATTTTTCTTTAGCAAGCTATAAAATTGTCACATGTTGTATCATACTTTTTTTTTTTTTACTTATTTTCTATTCCGTATGAATTTATAATGTTAGACGTGATCAAAGTTAGCCCAAACCAATTCGGCCCAAAAAAGACTCGGATTTTGGGTAGGATTATTGAACCAAACTTCAAGTTCGGGTCAGGCTAATCCAATATTTCAATTTGTTTGAGATTTGTGTAGCATAAAAATTAGTTTTAGTTAAAATTTCAATCGGACAAAAAATAGCCTAAAAATCGACTATTTTTTATCTGATAAAAAGGTTTGAGCACTTTTCCAGCCTAGCCCATAATGCACCTTTTTAGCATAGATCGACCATGATCACTGAACAGGTATAATTTAGATGAACTTATTTATTTTTAATGAATTAATTCAAATAATATCTTACCAGATCAGACATGAAACCAAGTATCATCAACAGATGGGCCGATAAATCTGTCTTCTTTTTAATCTGTTTATGGACAACTGAACATAATTTTTTTTTTTTTTTTACACGGTAAGAAATGGGGCTACCCTCCTATCACAGGAGGGTGAGGTGACCAAGTAAGAATCAAACCCAGGTCACTCTTGGGGAAGATGGAGGGACTAAATGTCCCTCCACTCCATGATCCTCAGATAACTGAACACATTGTACGGAGTAGGTCTTTTGCATGCTTTGCAAAAATAAAAAATCAAAATCCAATCGTCAAGCTATCAAAACTAAAAAGGCCTCCAAAAGCCCATTTGTCTATTTAACCTAACGAGTAGAGCCCATATGGTCTCAACATCCTCCATTTACATTTTCATTTCCAACAGTTTTTAATTCTTTTTTTTTCATGAATTTAGCAAGAAACCAGGCCCGGTCTTATTTGGCCCAATATGCCCTGACATTTTAGCCATTGCTTAATATAGCCCCTTTACTTTTAGGAATTTAGCCATTTGACCTTAATAAGGATATGATATGGACCAAAAACCTTTCAGGCTTAAAATACATTTTTGGTCAGCCTAGCCCCTTTAATCAGTTGTAGTTAGTACTTCCATATAAGTAAAATCGTGTCCGATTCACTTGATTTTTACTTATACTACTTTCGTCTCTTATTATTTGCAACAAAGGAATATTTTATGTCTCACAAATAATATTTTATTATTGAGAAATGAAGGTAGTATAAACTTATTTCATTTAATCATATATAACTAATATATAAAGCTAAACTTTTAGCCAGTTCACGAGACAGCGACACTTGACGTTCCAACTTTTCGCCAAGTGTCGTGCCACATTGGCGACATATCATGATGGTAAATAAGATTAAAAAGTTATTTAAATTGTTTAGGATAAGAGTTATTATTAAAGTTAAGATTAAAAAGTTATTATTTATGTTTTATTTTCAAAAAACAATTTTTTTTTTAAGTTAAGATAAAAAAAAATTATCAACGTATAAAGAAAAATAAAAATATAAAAAAAAAAAGTAAAATAAAATGCTATCATGTACTCCATGAAATCATAAGAAGCCAAAATTATTATTGTCCACCCGAAATTCTATAGTCTGACCAAATACAAACTTTCCATCCTACATTCGAAAATGCATCTATAAATATCAAAGAAAAAAAATAATAAATTAAAAAAAAAAATGTAGAGATTAATATGTGTTCAATGCTTAGAGTACTAAAAGCCTAAGATTACTCAAATTGTTTTAAAAAAAAATCACCCTTCGATAAAATTTTATAATTACACTTTCCTACATAATTTTATTTATTATAATCAAAGTAATATAAGAATTCCATTTATACAAGGAAACTAATTAAATCCAACTAATATAACAATTCTATTCTTACGAGGAAACAAGTACTATTTCTGCGCACGTAATTTTGGCTTTTTGACGATCAATTTTTACGCATGCAACTTTAAATTTAGTTAACAGGTATAATTTTAAATATTTTTTAGCAGATATTAAATCCTTTAATTTTCATTAACAAGTACAATTGTTAATTTTTTAAGTGAATACTAAAATCATTCTTAATATACATGTTTGTGAATGCATGATTATTAATTATTAATCTTAGGTGCCGTTTGGTTGGGGGTATTCAACAAAGGGAAAGGGAATCAACTGTCATGATTCCGTTGATTCCCTTTGTTGATGTTTGATAGACAAATTCAATCATTCCCTTTACCCCTCCTATTACCCCATTTTCCTCTATTTTCATTCCCCCCCCAAGGGAATCACTCTAACCCCCAAACTCCTTTTCACCCAACTACCTTGACCAACCTTTTAACTACCTAGACCACCCTCGAAACACCAAGTGCCCACCGACACCACCACCCAACCACCACTAGAACCAAAATCCCAGCCCACCACCGACGACGACAACCACCAACCAGCCTTCTCCACCCACCGTCGGCGACCGAATCAGTTCCCCAGCCAACCCACCTCCCTCCCCTTCCGGCGTCGACCCACCCCCTCCCTTTCCCTGCTTTCCGCCATCTCCGGCGATCCCCACCTTCTTTAAAAGCAAAACCCGCCCCTCCCTCTCCCACCGCGGCATCAGATCGACTTTCCCCTTACCCCAATGCCGCCGGCGACCCAGCCTAAACCCTAATTCTAACCCGAAAAACCGATTTGAAGAAGAAGCAGCTACTATGAAATTTTTGAGTTGTAGACTCAATTATGAAGATTGATGATGGTGTTTGAAGTAGCCAAGCAGAGGATCAAAGCCCAAGTTGGAGCAGCCAGCCAACCAATTCGAATTGAAGAAGAAAAAGGGGGCGGGTTTAGGGGTCGAGTTTCGGCGGTTTGTGCAGGGGCGTCGCGGCAATTGCGGTAAGGGGAAAGGAAAGGTCTTGATCGGCAGTAGGTTAGGGTACTGGTAGGTGGTTGCCGGCATTCAGGGGTGGTGGTAGGTGAATGGTAGATTTAAGGGGTATTGGTGGTTGACTGGTTGTAGAAGGAGGATGATAGTAGTGGTTACAAATGTGATTCCCTTTGTTTATGTAAAACAAACAACAATACAAAAATGAGGGATTAGCTTTCCTTTCTCCTCCTCTCCCTTTGTTGATTCCATTCCGTTTACCTTGTGTAAACCAAACGACCCTTTAGTTCTTTTACTCTTTTAGATTTTTCACCATATTTCCAAGCACCATTAATGGAGGCTATCAAAAACGGTAAAAGGTATGACTAAATGAATTGAATTTTTTATCATTAATTTTAGTATTCTTCATAAGTATCAAAATCTTTATTACTATATATATATATATATATATATATATATATATATATATATATATATATATATATATTCATAAGATATTATTGTTGGGAAGGAACAAATATCCATTAGAATAGCGTCAATTGCCTGTTAGGAAATTATTCTGTAAAATATTTGTAGTAAGTAGAATATTTTTCTTACTAGTTTTTCTGTATAGTATCAATTACCCCTAATTACAGGAGTATTTTTAGGAGCCTCTTTAGGCAACTGCTTTTGTATATAATTCCTGTAATCGCTGCTCTCAAGGAATACACAAAAAAATTTGTAAACCCAAAAACAGTCCCAAAACGTTTTTAAACCTTAATTTGGTATCAGAGCCAGGTTCCTGTTTTTCCGGCGACCGGTGAACTCTCGGCATCATCACTTACCAATGTCGACTGAAAATTAGTCCATAGTTTCGAAACCGGTTACAATGGAGGAAGTATTGCAACTGTTTTCACAGTTAAACTCCAATAAACCTGCCAATGAAGCCACAAACCAGACTTTTCAAATTTCCGAGAAATTAAACCATGAAAATTATACAAAGTGGACCAAGCTAATGCAATTGGGAGTCGGAGGGCGAGGCAGGCTCAATCATATCACCGCCTCCCCGTCATCTCCCGATGATCCAGAGTATAGCAAGTGGACTCAGCGAGATTCAGTGGTTATTTCTTGGATAATCGAAAACATCGAGTCGGACTTACAGAACCAATTTCTAGACTATCCTACTGCCAGAGATTTATGGAGAGGAATAGAAACCATGTACGGCAACGGAAGGGACGGACTACAAATCTTTGACCTCACATTCAAAGCCAACAAAATCCAACAAGGCACAGATCACATTGAGGTGTATTATAGCAAACTTACCTCGATTTGGAAAGAGATAGACAGAAGATTACCCAATCCGATGGTGTGTCCAGAGGATAAAACCATTTACAATCGGTTAATTCAACATAACCGATTATATCAGTTCCTAGAGGGACTCAATGACAATTTGGACAAAGATCGAAGGGATCTATTGAACACAGACCCACTTCCGTCTATCGAACATGCCTATGCAACAATCCGGCGAGTTCCCGGCGAGGCATAATGAAGACGGACAAGCCCTCATCGGTAGACTCATCGGGCATAGGGAGTGGTTTTGCGGTGAAAGGAAAGGCTGAGAAACCCCATTTCTGGCGAGAAGACGACCGGACTCATCTTAAATGCACACATTGTGGTGGAACACGGCATACCAAGGAGGGATGTTTTAAAATCATAGGATATCCCGATTGGTGGTCGGAAAGGAAGAAGAGAGTCAAAACTCCGAGAAGAGGAGAACCCAGAAAAGGGGGCTCAGCGGCGGCATACAGCAACGCCGGGAAAACCATAGAGGAAGCAGCGGCAATGGAGGAAGGAGAAGATGCCTTTACAACTTCAGGTTTGAATGAAAAAAGTAAAGGTAACCCTTTAGCTTTAATCTGCCATTTAAACTCCCAAGGATTCTCAAACAGGGAAGATCATTGAGCGTGGTATTGAAGAACACGGACTGTACTATGTTGACCGGATGTCTCAACAAGGCAGTGCATCGCTTGTTCGTGGATCGGTCGAACACCAACTCTGGACATGGCACCGACGTTTAGGTCATCCATCTCTAAGGTATTTAAAAAAACTTTTTCCATCTCTTAATATTTCGAATATTGTTTTTTATTGTGAGGCTTGTATTGTAGCCAAAAGTCACAAACATATATACCCTAGTAGTACTAGTCGAACTGAAACTCCTTTTGTGCTTATTCATTCGGATGTTTGGGGACCAGCTCCTGAATTTAATAAACATGGTTTTTTTATATTATGTTACCATTATTGATGATTTCACTAGAATGAGTTGGGTATATTTTCTTAAAAATAGATCTGATGTGTATGACACTTTTATCTCGTTCTACAAAATGGCCCAAAACCACTTTCAAACCCAAATACAAATCCTTAGATCCGATAATGGGGGGAATACAAAAACCTTTATATGGAATTGTTTGTTACCAACAATGGCCTTATCCACCAAATTACATGCCCTGATACTCCACAACAAAACGGCGTTGTCGAAAGAATAAACCGAAGTCTTCTAGAAATGACCCGAGCCATGATGTTTGAATCTCATGTTCCACCTTACTACTGGCCCGAAACCATTGCACAGCCAATTATCTTACCAACCGTCATCCGACCAAAAGCCTAAATTTTGCCATACCTCTAGATACCCTCAAAAACCACACTATTGTCCCTACTGCCCACTCCTTACCTCCCTGGGTTTTTGGATGCGTTGTTTATGTTCACCTACCCAAACGCAATCGAAATAAACTAGAACCAAGAGCAGTCAAATGTGTTTTTGTGGGGTATGAGATTAACCAAAAAGGGTATGTTGTTTTGACCCAGTCACAAGTCGCCTATATACCACCATGGATTGTGACTTCGTCGAAACCGAATACTATTACCACCACCTTAGATCTCAGGGGGAGAGTACAGTTGATAATCTAAGTTGGTTAGTCTATCCAGAACCGAATGTTTCTGATCCGAAAGAACAGGTAGGCAAAACCACCGAGACGACTGACAACACTGTACAGTTCAACCAACCAAATACCTTGCCTGATGATTCTACCACTCTGTTTGAGAATCCAACTGAAAATGAGGTATGTACACCAAACATCTCAGATTCTTACCATATTGATCCTGAACTTGCTAATACTTCTCCTGAGCCTACTAATGTCTCTCCTGAAGAAATGGTGATAGAATCAGAAATGCTTCCTGAAAAGGAATATCATGAGCCATTAAATGAGCAGCAATCTGAAAAATATGTGCTACCTCCCCGAAGCACAAGAGGTGTTCCTCCGAAAAGGTATGATCCAGATTTTGAAGCACAAAGGTCGAAATATCCAATCAACAGACCTGGAGAAGGAAATCTATCCCAGACAGCTAAAACTTACAATGCAGCTATCTACTCTGAATCCATTCCTACTACAACTGAAGAAGCTCTCAGCAATAAACACTAGAAGAAAGCCATGGAAGATGAAATTAATGCACTTATCCGGAACAAGACCTGGGAAAAGTGTACTTTACCGAGTGGAAAAAGGCTAGTAGGATACAGATGGGTGTTCACAATAAAGTACAAGGCAGATGGTAGCATTGAAAGATACAAAGCAAGACTAGTAGCCAAAGGCTATACTCAGACATATGGGATAGATTATGCTGAAACTTTCTCACCGGTGGCAAACTTCAACACTATTAGAGTATTGTTCTCAGTGGCTGCAAACAAAGATTGGCTTTTACATCAGTTTGATGTAAAAAATGCTTTCTTGCATGGAGATCTCGCTGAAGAAGTATACATGGAAGCTCCTCCAGGCTTCTCCCAAGACTTCTCAAATGGAGAAGGGTGCAGATTACGGAAGGCTTTATATGGCCTCAAACAGTCTCCCAGAGCATGGTTTGGGAGGTTTACTTCAGCAATGAGAAGATTTAGATACAGGCAAAGAAATTCAGATCACACCTTGTTCTTCAAGAAAATAAGGGAACTGACAACATGCCTAATAATATATGTTGATGATATGATAATTAATGGGGACGACAAAGAAGAGATAAATTAGTTGAAAGGAAAGCTTTTCAGAGAATTTGAGATGAAAGATCTTGGGAATCTTAAATATTTCCTGAGAATAGAGGTACTCAGGTCCAAAAGGGGAATCTTTATTTCTCAAAAGAAATATGTTCTCGATCTTCTGACAGAGACTGGAATGATAGACTGCAAGCCCATTGATACTCCATTAATGATGAACCACGAGCTTCAGATAATTGAAGGTGCGGACCCAACAGATCAAACACTATACCAGAAACTGGTCGGGAAGTTGATCTATCTGTCACATACTCGACCAGACTTAGCCTATGCAGCAGGGGTTGTCAGTAGATTCATGCATAAACCTCATAAACATCATCTTGAAGCTGTATACAAAATTTTAAGGTACTTAAAGAAAACACCAGGAAGAGGAGTCATGTTTGAAAAACATGGCCACTTAGACCTTCATGCCTTCACAGATGCTGACTGGGGAGGATATCGAGATAGCAGAAAATCCACCTCCGGATACTTCACTTTGGTTGGTGGAAACTTGGTCACCTGGAAGAGCAAACGACAAAAGGTGGATGCAATGTCTAGTGCTGAAGCTGAATTCAGAGGAATAGCAAAAGGAATAACGGAGGTTCTATGGATCAGAAAGTTATTGACAGAGCTCGGATATGCACCTAAGAAGAGCTACAAACTGTAATGTGACAATATAGCAGCAATTCGTATTTCAGAAAACCCAGTTCAACATGATCGCACAAAACATGTGGAGATCGATAGGCATTTCATCAAGGACCACCTAGAAGCAAAGGTGATAAGTCTTCCGTTTGTGAGATCCGAAGACCAACTAGCAGATATTTTGACCAAGGCTGTTACAACACAGGCCTTTGAAGGAGCATTATCCAAGTTGGGTGTTGAAGATCCGACAACCCAACTTGAGGGGGAGTGTTAGGAAATTATTCTGTAAAATATTTGTAGTAAGTAGAATATTTTTCTTACTAGTTTTGCTGTATATTATCAATTACCCCTAATTACAGGAGTATTTTTAGGAGCCTCTTTAGGCAACTGCTTTTGTATATAATGCCTGTAAACGCTGCTCTCAAGGAATATACACAAAAAAATTGAAAACCCAAAAACAGTCCCAAAAAGTTTTTAAACCTTAATTTTGCCAATTGAATTAACTTGGTCAACAGTCAGTTTTTTGCCCTTCTGTATTTTATATGTAATTAACATGTTTTTTTTTCTTATGAATAAAAAGGGCATCGTAGGAACTAGACAATTACAATCTCATCAAGGACTTGAAGATTAGCAATGAGATAAAAGATTGGACTTTAAATGTAAGAATCACTAGAATGTGAGATGTAATTAGCCCGAAGAATAATCAGTTTCTAGGTACTGACATGATACTAGTTTTTGCACATGTATTTTTCCAATAGTTTTTATTATTAACCTAATATGTCTTTGAAATAAGAACTAACTAAGCTACTTAAACAGGATCAACACATACATGCTTCAGTTAAAAGAGAAGATTTTAGAGAAAAGCTCAAAGAGGGATGTATTTATATGATTAAGCACTTCAATGTGACACCTAATAAGAAAGAGTGGAGGATTGTCACAAATGATCTCATGATATTTTTCAATTTTGCAACCTCGACTCAATTACTAGAGAAAGATGATCCAAAAATCCCTAGACATAAGTTTGAACTGGGAGATGATGAATTAATCAAGCAACGAATCACATTAGAACACACAAGGTATGACTATTTAGTATTAAAACCTTATACTCAATTATATATCTATATTAATTACCTAATCAGTCACTATTCTCATATTTTTTATACAGTGGACAGACATACTTGATAACACTAAGGGGAAAATAGCCGAAACATTCAACTACCATCTCAGCGTAGACAATGTACCAATTGTGCTAATGGCTAATCATTACATCTCTTAGAATTAGAACATTTAATGGTATGTATCTGAATCTCCATAACACAACATCATACTATCTGAATCTCCATAACACAACATCATACCATTTTTAATCAATTGTGTATGTGAATTGTGAACTAATATTATATTTCAAAGTACAGGTAATATAACTTTTTTATCCAATGGAGCAACAAAAATATACAAAGACATAGACATACCAAAAAGTAAATGAATTCATACAAGGGTAATTACACATCAATTATATTATTCATACATAAAATCAATTTAACCATGTATTATAAGTACTCATACTTCTCCCAATTTTATTTTTTTTCCACAGGAGAACAAAAAGTTGCATAGAAGTACTTACCCTACCAAATACAGAGAGAACAATGATGAATCAAAGTCAGTGAAATTAGATGAACTTACGCAGGTTTTATTTAGCAACAATATCAAAGATGGTACTAAAGTGGTATGCTAAGCTATGATATCCGGAACTAAACCAGACAGTGATTGGTTATTTTCATCATGTGCTAAGTGTAGATCTAAGCTCCAAAAAGATGGTGGTAGATTTTTTTGCTTCAAATGCATGGAAGCCCAGGATATCCCCATACTAAGGTAATAATCAGATTTATAATAAAAATAAACACAACATAACTATTGATCATTCCAACTACTAAAAGTAACCAATTACACAGATAAAGGGTAGAAGTAGAGGTGGAAGATGATACGGCAAAGTCAACATTTGTATTGTTTGATAAACACAGAGAGAAATTAATAAAAGTTCCTGTAACAACACTTCTAAGCACAGTTAAAGAGGTATTTTTATATTAATTAAAGAGCAGTATATATAGCATACATATAGTTTGATACAATTTTCGTGCATACCCAACCATTATTAATATTTTATAATAATAAAAGAAAAAAATATACAAGCTAAGGCACATTAAAATTATGTGGGGTTATATGGGAATATGACTCATTTCCTTAATTAAGGATTATCCACATTTGTTTTAATTGATAATTATATAATCAGTTAATCACTTTTCAAATGAACAAAAACAAATAAATCACTTCTTAATTTTATAATTGACCCATTTCCATACTTATTTTTAATTAACTTTTGTGACATGTTAATCAACCCTGTATAATTAAATTACCCTTTCGCTAATGAAGATTTAAATCAACAAATATTTCCAATAGCGTGGATATACACATTAGTTATAATACCTTATAGAAAATGATTATACTAATTTGATAATTAGCCAATTAATGTAATGATTATTTTAAGCATATATATCGCGTATTGAATCCGTAGTATTGCCCGGGGTATATACTAGTAGAAGTTATATGAGCTAACTATAACTTATGCTACTTGTATTTGGATAGCTCTTATTAACCCATATCAAAAGCTTATCTAAAGTTATTTATCCTGTTCTTATCTAATTTAAACTTATCAACTCTTATTAAAAGTTGATCATAAAAGCAACATGTAACAAATAACATTGAACAGAAAAAGTAGGTGAAATAGAATACTTATAGTTTCTAAGTTTCTTAATCAAAATTATCGACTATGATTGACACTACGTGTTTAAAAAAAAATGATATTACTTGTTGAGACAAATATGTCAAAAACAAATTTGAAATGTGTCTGAAATCAATAAAATAGGTTTTATCAAAGAAAAAAAATATATCAGTAAAATATAAATCGGGCAGACCAAAAGGGCCAAATAAAAGTGACCGCATTCCCAAAGGCCCAATTAAGTTTTTGCCATGTATTATCAATTTATCATCGCCTTCTACCAGTCGAGTATCTTTAAGCCTAACGTAGTCAACATTTGGGCTATTTGGTTTAACAAACGCAAATTTTATAATATGCTATATTCTGCATAAATTGAGATAATAATTTTTCTATACATTACAATATTATTACATAATTATTTAATTTTTCTTTGAAGTATATATTAATATGAATAAAATCTAATTAAGCATGTAATCATGATTTGTTCATCGGAGTCATAAATGAATATGCTTTACAGTATCTTCATCAAACTTGTGACTCGAACAATGATTTTATTTTATTATTAGACTAAATATATAAAGTTTCAAACAACTACGGATGTCAACATGTACAGAATACCTTATACATAAATCAACTTGCAATATGTTTTAGCACTAAATTAATATTGAATCATTAGTACTTAATTAGATTCTTGGAAGTATGACAAAATCAGCTTAAATTGCTTTAATCCATAGTTTGTTAAAGTGAGGCAAAGAAGAGAGTTTGATGTATTTCTTATGGCTTTAGCACCTATCAAAATCAATGAATATGTAAATTCCGTTTTCCAATTAAATTTCCGAGTAGGACATTTATAAACCATATTATGAAAGAGTATTTCATAACTTTTAAATTGACATATGACAAATTATGTTAGCTAAAATTCGTAGTCTTCACTTGACACATTGTGAGACCTATCACAAGTTTGGCAATTATATATTCAATGATGTATGAATTTTTTTAGAGGCGTGTTCAAATTTCGGATTTGCAGCCGTCTATATGATGTATGTTAATTGTTTTTGAATATTCAGTCCCAATATTACGTGTATTCAAGTTTTCTTGCAAAAATTAATGCGGAGTATGATTACACTTAATACTAAATGAAGTGATTCCTTGGAGAAAATGATCACTACTTATCCTATATATTTGTGAAATTTGTAGCCAGGTCAACCTACAATATTTAGATTTAAGGGTATCAATTAGCAACTACATAGTTTTTATATTTGATTTCTTTGGCATTTTTATAGAGTGTCACCATTGAAGTCGATTTTCTGATCTAACTAATTTGTAGAAATTATATACTTTAGTTGTGGAATATGCCACAAGTCAATTCATCTTATTGGAGCAAAATCCATTTGACAAGAGAAATTTAAGGTTGAAATTCTTCACTGTCCTCCGACCAAATTAAATCAATGGAACATAGTTTTAATTGCAACTTGATTATTATGATGAATTTTTAGCTTGTGAATTGAAAAGAGTGAGATTCAATATTTATGAGGACAATTAAATGAATGACCTCGGGACCTAATTCGTATTTAACATGCCATGGTTATTGATAGAAGGTTTTAATAATTTTGATGGTTAAATATTAGTATGTCACTTTTTATTTTATTTTTTATTTTTTTGAAGGGAAAATATTAGTATGTCACTTGAAGAAGGTGTGTTGTGATTAAATTTTAAGGTATTTTGGAAATATAATTAAGATAACTAGATTGCAAAATCAGGTTCAATGATCAAAGTGTGTAAAATGATGCAAGGGCAGACTCGTATATAGGAGAACGAATAGCATATTTAATTTGCTTTAATTGTGAAAATATATTTGACCATAAACTATATGGAGCACGCACAAAAATTCTTTAAGCATAAGCTAGCATGTGCCAAAGCCCAAAAGTTTGTAAATAGTAGATTGAAAAAAATTGGAGAAAACATAATTGCGAACATCTTCTGAGGTTTATTTCCTAAACTTTGATAGTCATTGTTCCGTGAAGCCCATTTTGTATTAGTGATATAATCCTGAAATTTTCTATCCAATGCTTTGGCGTTGCACCATTCGGATTGATAACTAACTAGTTTTTGTAAATTAATATTAAAAAATAAATACGGATTATATATTCAAGTTAATGTGTAAATAATGCAAAATTTGAATTATTGCAATTTTTCTAAAACAGACTAAAACTTACCTTTCAGTTTAAAAGGTAAAGAATCAACCTCTT